AAAGTTTTGTTGTCTTTCATTGTAAGTTTTCTTAGGTAAGTTCTAGAGTAACCTTTAGTTAAGAATTGATTTAGTTGTACAAAAGTGGAAGACATTTGGGGTTGTGACCTAAAGGTTAAGGCTGGCAACACAGACTTTCTAGTCTAACTGCTCAAAATTCAGACAACTCCCTGCCTTTTAGAAGCTCTGAGAATTGTTTAACTTTGAGATCCTCATTTGTTTTTTTGCCCAGTTTTGTGAAATTGACCCTGCACATGTAGGACTTAATATTCCACAACAAACTCAAGAAAACCCTAGGTGGATTTCTTGAGCTCTTTGTCTACCTAGCCCCTTCCCCTCTGGTACTTCTAGAAAATCCCATCTGCCTGAGCCTCCCTGAACTCTGTTCTCCTTAAGTCAGTGAGACCCAGTGTTCTTGGAGCTCCTACTGCCTGCCAGTCTGGTGGGGCATGCAGGCAAAAGCCTGGACTCCATCATTCCCTTTCTCTGGGATCACAGCTTGCACTTCTCTTTGTCTAATCTCTGTAAACAGTGTTTGGTAGAGTTGCTCCAGTTTTCTAGTTATTTATGGTGGAAATGCTAATCCTATACTAGTTAATCCATCATGGCCAGAAATAGTTTCCATTTTTATGAATATTCTGATTGTTTTCTCCTAGACATTAAGAGAGCCAATGAGACCTTCTTTGGTAGTCAGAAAGAAGCAGTTTTGAGGGAGGGATGGAAGAGACTCCAAGGCCATTTATTGTGCGTGGGATCAGTTCAAGCTGAGATTAGAACTATGGTAGGGGCATCCCAGAAAGGAAGAGAGTGGGACAACTGGGAGATAAGGGGTGATAGGTGGCTCCTTCTCTTTCCGGGCACTCTTTCTCAAATCATTTTTCATAGATCAGGGATATCCTGTACAGTCACACTCTTCCAAAGCAATTTCCAGGCTGGAAAACTTCATATCTCTTATTTCATGTGTGGGAGCTCATTTTCTTTCTCCTTTGAAAACCCATAGCACTTTATTTCTTTAATCTTTTCCTTCTGCATGAGAGTTATCATTTGTGACTTCCAAAACCAGGCACTCTGTTAAGGGATTTGCATTCATAATTCATTTAATGTTCACCATGATCCCATGATGCAGGTACTAGAATGATCTTTTCTTTTATTCAGGAGGAAAGTAAAATTTAGGGAGATTATGAAATTAGCCCAAGATCACACAGCTTGGCAGTGGCAAAGCCAGAATTAGAGCCTCTGCCTTTTTCATTTCATGCTCTGTATTCCAGTATCAGGTTATATTTCACCTCTTTACTCTTTGCTGCCTTTTTACTATCCTGATTTCTGAGCTTATCTAACCAGTTTTTTAATTGATTACAAGAGGAAACCTGTACTGCACATTTTGTGTCTTCATAGCATCCAGCAGAGAGCCCTTCTTTGCCCATAACCAGTTGGGAGGAAGAAAAAGAGGAAGAGATATTGTCTCCTTTATTACTTATTTTGGAAAAGAAAGAGCCCTAACCTCTTGGAATTAACTTGCTATCAAAATACTTTCTTATCTAGAGGATTAGCATTCCAATGAAACCTTGTTTTACTTATGTTATTCCCCACAAATCATAGTTACTGGAGTCATCTGATAGAAAATCTCTATCCATCCATAGAACAACAGATGGCAATAAGGAAAAAATCATTCTAATTTAGTTATGAATCATACATACCTTGTTGTTGCTAGGTAGGATCCTAGGATTTGGGTAATGTGTTCTATGATACTTGTTCCTTTTAGTCGTACCTATAAATCATCTTCTCTTACAAGATTGGTTTTTATATTTTCTGTGGCAAATGTTTATTAACAGACATCAGCAGTGTTGAGACAATTAGCAACTGTTAGATAAATTTTATTAAAGTAAGATGTATGGGTTGAAATAATGAGAGAAATAGCACAACAAGACCTTGTGATTAGTAACTTGAAGATATCTTTTTATCTATTAACCAAATAGAGTAGAGGGTGCTATCCATAAGGCTGTCAATAACTGGGGCAGTAACTACAAATAGCTGGCCGGTACATTAACATCCCCAGGAGAAGATGTCAGAGCTTTTGGGTCCTTACAAGAGTGCTTATATTAGATTCAGAAACAAAAACTCGCCTACTGGACAGCCTTTCCACCCTCAATCACTCCTCCTACTTCCCCTGGGTCAAATGTGCGTGTGCCTTTAAGCCATGTCTGATAACCCTCTGTAGTTAAACTCACAAGCTCCAGGTGGACTGGTATTTGTCTGGCCAGAGGCTAAATGTAAGGTGAGGAAGCCTGCCTGCTGGAAGCTGTTAAAACTCTATTTCAGAACTTCTTTAGAATCTTTCATTATTCAATTAAAAAATCCCTCCAGCATTTGGGCAGCTAAGTGAGAGGAGAGGTGGGAGGAGGGCTTTGGGGAGGAACATTTTCCCAGTCTCTGAATTGTTTAATTCAGAAAAACATAAAAAGAGTAGATACTGATTAAAGGCAGTCAGTTCTGTTTGTGTTGGGGGAACAGGGGGATGGAGCCCAACGCCTCAGGCTAGGTAAGTGCTCTGTCACTGAGCTCTACCATAGCTACAGTTACTTCCATTTTTATTTGACCACTGTTCTCTGTTCTTCAGGGAATCACTTTCATTGGCCAAAACCTATAGAATGTTCAGTTTCTATACATAAGGGAAATCTTTTGGATTTTGGAACTAAAATAACTACTTTCAGAGTAAGCAACCTTAAATTTTTAGTCTTCATTATTAACATTTGCAAAAGATCTGCAGTAGAATAGCTCTTGTCCTATATAAAAAGTGGGAACTAAGATAGGTTAGAAAGGAAAAGAAGAGAAACATGTAGATTTCTGTTTCTCAATTAGAGCAAGAGAGCTCCTTAGATGCAGGAGGGAGTTATGATCACATGATCTTTTGAGGTTTCGGATCCTTTCTTTCTGGGCAAGATGATAAAATGAACAAATATCCATTGAGGTCGCTTTCTTCCACATAGTAGATTAATGAACAGTCATCAGGAATTGATTTGTAGTTCCTAGCGGCCCAAACTGAATTTGGGCAATAATGTGAAAAACTAAATGCATTGTTTCAGTTCCTTGAGGTCATCCTGTCTCCCAGCATGCCGTTATGTTATAGTAAACATTAGCAGTTGGATCAGAAGAACCACAAGGGAACATATGTTTTTATCCTTCTTGTCTGGGTAATGCTCTTTAAAAAAAAATTAATGAGTCCCACTGCCACCAAGCACTTCAGGACAACAGAGAAAAGATGTTGCATTTCGTGTTTTAACAGAAGCAGGCTCAAGATTTTATGTATACTCTAAACCAAGTTAAGATTTTTTCAGTGAATTAATTAATGTTAAATATTCTACCCAATACTCATGATGTGGGAAGTTCCTTTGTTCATTAATCTTAAAAATATGTTTGAACAGGATGAGTCTACAGAGCATGCAGTCTCATTTATTGCAGTTGTTTTTTGAGAGCTCCAATTTACTTTAAAATTTTATTACATTGAATTTTCCCTGGGATTCTTCTTTATAGAAGAAAGTCATATTCATTCTCTAATCCAAGTGAATGAGTATACTTTATCTAGAGCGCTTGGGACCAGAAGTGTTTCAGATTTGGGAATTCACTTTTTCATATTTTTGGAATTTTGACATAGACTTTATTGACTGGGCATTCCTAATCTGAAAATCCAAAATTGGGAATAGAGATTTGAGTGATGCCCAAAATGTTTCGGATTTTGGAACATTTCAGATTTGGGATTTTTGTATTATAGATGTTTAATCTCTATTTCAGGCTTAACTATGTGTAGAGCATTGTGCTTGATTTTGTTAGAAATTACACATTTAGGGCTGGGGATGTGGCTCAAGCGGTAGCACGCTCGCCTGGCATGCGTGTGGCCCGGGTTCGATCCTCAGCACCACATACAAACAAAAGATGTTGTGTCCGCCGAAAACTAAAAAATAAATATTAAAATTCTCTCTCTTTCTCTCTCTCTTAAAAAAAAAAAAAAAAGAAATTACACATTTAGCTGGGCACAGTGGTGCACATCTTTAATCACAGTGGCTTGGGAGGCTGAGGCAGAAGGATCATGAGTTCAAAGCCAGTCTCAGCAATTTAATGAGGCCCTAAGCAACTCCACTAGACCCTGTCTCTAAATAAAATACAAAAAAAAGGACTGGGGATGTGGCTTAGTGGTTAAGCGCTCCTGGGTTCAATCCCTGGTATCAAAAAAACAACAAAACAAAATGAAATTACACATTTATCCATTCATCTCTTAACAAATATTTATTGTATGTTAATAGATGCCATGAACAGTTCTTTTCAGTGTAACAAATGAGGTTTCTACCTCACTTATAGCATAGGTGCTCCTGGGGAAATCAGACAATATACAGGCAAACAGGTGTATGCATAATATCATTTTGGAGAGGAACTATATTAACTTTTTTATCCAGCTACTAAGGTCTAATAAGTGGGAAGTTGAATACCACTATGTAATGATAACACAATCCGACTTTTTTTATAGTGCTGGGAATTGAACCCAGAACCTTGCTCATGCTAAACACATGCTCTACCACTGATCTAGCTTGTACTTAAAATCAAGTGTGGGGTCTTACAGTCATTCTTCACAGCTCTCACAGTAGCTGTATTCCTCCTATTTATTCAGATGAAAAAATTGAGGCCTTTAAGAGAGTGTGAGTATTTCTGAAGTCCCAGAGCTAGCCAGTGGGAAACCTTTTTCTCTTCTTCCCCATGAAACTGGGGGTTCAACCCAGAAACTCCGGAATGCTAGGCAAGCCCTTTAGCTCTGAGCTAACGCCAGCCTGGAGAGGCTTTTTCTAGTCAAACTATGGTCTTCTGACTGTTTGTATTATTGCTTGATATCTATTGGCTTAATCACCCACAAATTCTTTCCTATTTCATATTATAAATCTTTCAAGAATAGAAAAATTGAGCTGAGTGCAGGTGCAAACCTGTAATCCCAGTGGCTCTGGACAGAAGGATCACAAGTTTAAGGCCAGCCTCAGTAATTTAGTGAGGCCCTCAGCAATTTAGCAAGACCCCGTGTCTCAAAATAAAAAAAAATGAAGAGGGCTGGGTATGTAGCTCAGTGGTAAAGCGTTCTTGGTTCAATCCCCAGTAACAAAAAAAAAAGGAAAAAAGAAAAATTTCAAGTCACAACAGATCCAGTTTTTGCTTTTGCTTTTTAAAGTGCTTTAATAATGCCTCAGGTCTACTTAGTGGAAAATAGAAGAAAGAGGAAAACTGCTTATAAAACTTGGCCTCACACGCTGCCTGGGTTTTCATAAGTCTCCAGGCTGATTACACTGTGCAGCCTTCCTTAGGAAATGGATGGAAGTTTGAGCTGAGACACAAACAGGAAGGCTCAGAGGCAGCATTTGTCCCTCAGGCAGGCACCACCTCTTTAAATAGCTACGTGCACTGGGAATTAGTTCTCCACTTAGACTAGCAACTACTGCCCTTTGTTCTGGCCCTGCAGGGCTGGAGGTGGCCAGCACTGTCCTGCTGGAGGCTGGGACAGCCCTCAGCGGGTGTGGGGCAGTGAAGGCTGGCTGGAGATGGCCTCCCAGCCTCTGGGCCATGAGGAGACACCTTAGCAGAGATGTTTTGTGCTTTTCCCTTAAGAATATCATCCCCAAGACTTTTAACCTGCTAAAAGGTAAGGTTCCAAGCATTTCCTAGATCAATAACTTGGGCGACAGACTTCTTTCTGCAGACTGGTTCTTTATTTTACTTAAAAGAGAAGCGAAAACCACAAATGGTTGTTATAGCTTTTGTTGTTGCTGTTATAGCTTTTTAAAAAATTTATTTTTTGGTGGATCTTGTAGTTTTATTAGTAGATTACAGGCACATCATGTTACATGATGGTAAACTGTGGTTTTTTTAACCTTTAAAAGCAGATTTTTGTTATGATATGGATGTGAGTTTCTAAAGCTCAAATAAAGTAGAAAAGCAGATGAATCCTGATTTGAAAAGACAAGTTACACTGAGATCTTAATAGATGCCTTAAAATGAATGGTTTAAAAACATCTTTTGATTCCAGTTCCTGTTTTTATGTTAGAGGGCTTAAACTATCTAATCCAATCTTTCCAAATAATTATCTAATTTTAGTAACATCTACTGAAGTAAGCTGTATTACGCAATCCGGTTACTCCACTCTTTCCATGGAATGAATGCAATTTTCTGGTCAGGCTTTTAAGTCTTTTTATTTTCAGCTCTCGTACAAAAGGGACCAGCCAGAAGTGGCTGCTGCCCTGTCCTGCAGAGGACAGGTGAGTGGGGAAGAGGTCTCATTCTGTGCTGCTCTGCAGGAAAGAGTAATGTCCCGGCATTAGTGTGACCTGCATTTGTCCATTTCTTCTGATCTTTCCTTGGCTTCAGCCTGTTCCTCCCTTATGTACCTTCTTCCAGATTCATTGGCACCTGTGTACTCCTGACCGAGGGCATACTTAATTAATCTCCACTTTGAGAAACATGAATTCATTCTCTCCTCAGAAAGGCTTCCATGGATTTACCACCTTTCATGTTTAATTTTCAGAGCATTGTCATCCTCAGGGCTCCATGTCAATGACTTTCTATTTGTCTTTTGTTTCTTGTCTGGGTCTTGTCTGTTGTACTTGGGAGAAAAGGAGAAGTTTTGAGAGAGGTGGTATTGCTGTTGATTTGAGTTTCATTTCCTTTAAATTAGATTTGAATCCTATGCTTCAGAGTGTTATGAATTATTTTTATATATGTAGTATTATCTTTATATTTTCAAAACTGTGTTTATGGTTTTTTTATTGTCTTAAAATTGTTTTACTTATATATTCTATAATCAAAAAGTAAAGTCTATGCTGACCCCATGAAGCCTTCTTTTTAGAGTTTAGTAAGGAACTGTACCTTGATGAAATTGTTTGGTGTATGGAAGACAGGGAAGGCTTTTTTTTTTTTTTTCCAAGTTCTACCTCGGATTTCAGGAGGTGTAAATGAAACCAGCCAAGGTCTGTGGTAGGGTATACATTTTCAGCATGATGCACGTCCACGATGTGACATTAGCTGGATGTGCTTATTTGTGAAAATAGTCATTTAACATGTGCTTTGATGATTATTACTAATTGGGGTGACTTTTTTAAACTTTAAATTTCCTAAATAATAGCAAATTTGCATTACATTTAGAGCTTGTTTTGAAGTTTGACATTTCCACTGTTTCTTTTGATAATCCCCACAGTTCTGCATATAATGGCTCCTCCCACTACTGCCTGCTTTTATAGACAGAATTTTTAAAGTCCCTTGTTTAACTCCAAGCCAGGTGTTTAATTGAATAGCAGATGAGTTAATCAAAACCAAGTTTAATATGATAAGACTTATATTTAGATTGGAAAATATAAAGGACTTTATTTTTTATGTTCAAACAAACCAAAGGAAAAAAAATATCAGTTGGAAAACAGAATAACGCTTATCTGCAAGCTTTCTGCTTGCTTAGGTAGCTAAGGAATTCTGAAGACCCTGGGCACAGTAAAGCAAGGGTCTGTTAGCCAAGGTTCTGCCAGAATTAAAAAAAAGAATAACAATAACAAAATAGCCTAGGAGATGAGCTAAAAGGAAATCAATGTCTCTTGATAATTAGTATGACAAAGCGAACTCGAGATTTACAGGAAGGCCTCCTGCTGACTCCAGTGGAGTGAGCTTAGGAATGTGTTTTAATGCCTGTTTTAAACCCCAGAGTGGTGTTTTGAGTGGGTCCTGCTGACGTAAACATAGACCGTGCCTGGATATATTCCAAAAGTAGAGGGTGAAAACAGTTCAAGCAAGATGTACAGTGTTATTACAGTCCAGGCACGGAGCAGCAATTTACCACTGTCTTGGGAGACAGAGGAGAGCAGCCACTGTGCTGTCCCCAGGTAGTGTAGCTTGATGATAAGACTGGACATAGATGGGAGATTGAACCAAGAACAATCACCCCAGCACTTATCTAAACCGATGGAAGGTTTGAGAAAAAGGGAATTGTTTCTTAGCAATATAAAAGCCTGCAGAGTATTTACTGGTTCAAATAAGCCATTGAGAGGAATGTTTGAGCAACTTAAGAACTGATTAGATGGATACTCATTGTTAGGTGACTTTAGTGACAAATAAGTGATAGGTTTCCAAAGCTCATTTACCAAACAAACTTTGGGAAGTAAGCAGAGTAAATAGGCCCGGCCCGGTCTCTGTTAGCTATGAAGATAAGCATGAACAATTCTCCATTCCCAAAATATATTTGATTAAATGAACACAAAGATTTAAACTTTTCCCTTTCTCTTATGACTATACATGGGAAAACTGGGATCAAACAGGTCCCAGCTTGACTGAAGAGCGTACTAGTTTAGAATCCAAGAATCCAACTTAGTGCCACGCAAAAGTCACTATTTGGGACAGGAATGGTCCATCTATTTTGCTTTGAAAGACAGCTGGAAGGCATAGTATTTCAGTTATTTGTGTACCAAAGTGATATTTGACTATCTGAGTCTTCCAAATTAAGTAGACAATAATGGAGAGGCCTTTGCCCTGCTTTTCATTCTGTTCCACAATGTGGAGATCTCCTTCCCATTAGAGTTTCAGTAAACTTGGAAGGAAGGCTAGAGATGTGGCAGCTCTAACCACATGGCAGTCCTGCCTACCCAATGTAGTGTGGAGAGAACCCACAGTAACTTTATGAATATTCCAGTGGGTTACTTTGTAGGAGATAAAATGAAGATAGACACTCACTGATGACTTCATGTTGAAAGAGTCTTTTATAATAATAACAGTATATTGCACCTTGTCTTTCATTTCATGCTTTGTCAACCATGAATTATTTAGTAGGTATGGATCTTATTGTGTATTTTGTTAAAAAATATTATGGGGTTTATCATATGATCCATCCCTGGAAGCTTAAAAAAAAAGACAACAACCCTAAAATAATCTATTTTGTTTAATTAGGTTAGTTTATGGCTATCTTTTACCAATAAGAATTAACAATCCTCTTGAAACTGCTTTCTAATCCATGGAATAGAAGAAAGCAGAAGTCAGCCTTGGGCAAACCTATCCTGGAATTTTTTGAGAAATGGTGTAATTTCCAAATTGTAAGAAGTGCCTAAGGCATCAAAACATGGTGTGACTGGAAATCTAGGTTTTTGTGACAGTGATAGGAGTGGCATTGTAGCTAAGAATGCTGGGGTGAGAAGGAAACTTGGTACAGGAGTTTTTAAACTTGACTTTTGGGAAGTGCTGGAAATAGGAATTGCAGGGAGGGTGGAAGGAGGAAAAAACCTAAGAAGCCTCTGGACCTCCATGTTTGGTTTCCCCAGAACTGTTCTGTACCTCTCTGTTTTTGTTTGTGTTTTTGGTTCTGGGAATGGAACCCAGGACCTCACACATGCTAGTCAACCCTTCAGTCCATTTTTTTTTGGGGGGGAGGGGTTGGGTACTGGGGATTGAACTCAGGGGGCCTCAACCACTGAGCCACATCCGCAGGCCTATCTTGTATTTTATTTAGAGACAGGGTCTCACTGAGTTGCTTAGTGCCTCGCTTTTACTGAAGCTGGCTTTGAACTGTGATCCTCCTGCCTCAGCCTCCTGAGCTGCTGGGATTACAGGCCTGCCCACCACCTTCCCCAATCAGTCCATTTTTAATTCCTTCTCTGACTACTCTTCTGAAGGAGAATATGATCTCTAGTCCTCTTTCCCACTAACATGTGAATCTTGGGCTGTGTTGCCGCAGTCTGGCTGGGCACAAAATCACGAGCCACTCAAGCAGGAACAAACTTTATTTCCAAAACTCCCGCGAATGCCACGCACGCGGCCTTCTCCAGGGACACACCACACCAAAAGGAAATCCCTCCTCCGGAATTCCCTCCTACCGAACTTCCCCAACCAATGGGAACTTTCCGGGAGTCCCAGGAGAGCTCCAAAGTAGCAGGCCTAGGCAGACAGCAGGGGTCTAATCTCCAATTGAATGCACATCTAACATAATCATTATCATCTCAATGGCTTGCTGGGGTCACCTTACAACCAAAAATGCCATGCGTCATTCCTACTTGGCTATGGCTCTCAGCACTGTGTGTGTGTATTTGTGTGTATGTATGTAGGGGTCTGTTGTGAGATAAAGGAAAGGAGCTACAGTTTGAGAAGGAATGTATTACAGAGAATGACTGGATATTCTTGAGCCTTAAGTGGATTCACTATTTTCCCTAATCTGCTTACATAGTGTTTACTGAAGATTTGCCTTTTGGGTTGTTACTTGACCACTTTGGATTTGTCAGCTGATCTGTTAAAGGTCAATTCAAATTCCACCCCACCCCTTTCCCCCAAGCACTCTCTTGCTAACTCTCCCACTAGTATTTTCTCCAAAATTCTAAGGACCTTGTCAATATCTTTCCTTTAATATTCATACACTTTCTATGCAGCAAGGTGACTCTTCTTTTAAAATGCATTCTTTTGTCTCCTTGGCTAGCCTGTAGACCCCCACTGAACCACTGAATACAGAACTTTTTTTTTTCCCCCTCAGTAACATTCCCCTCTCCCACATATTACCTAAGAGCCGACTTTTAGTCAGCTTTCCCTGACTGCCCAGTTTTGCTCGCCCCAAGACCTCTCTGCCTGCAGTGTGTCATGTTTGCACCATCCCTGCCCCTCAGGATCCCGCCCATCCTTCTTGTTGAG